CCTCCATTTACTCCAAATGACCCTCTCCCTCCCCCTCCCGTCCACAAAACTCAACTTGTTAACGCCTATTTTGTATTTCATGTACACGGGTGATGTGGATCAGACGAGGAAGTGGGCGGGGGCGATGAAGAGGGAGGACTGGGAGGTGTTGGAGAGGGTGGTGCGATTACTGGGCGTGGAGGGGTGGCCGTGGGAGGGTCCGAGGGGTGTGTGATGTTTTGGCCACCAAATGAGAGGAATTGGGAAGAACGCACTATTAACTATTTGAGAATAAGGCTTGGACGGTTTACTGGGCTGTGGTGGGGTGCACTTGAGAAGGTGCACCGTGTGATAGGAAATTGTCGTGTTTTGTATTTGTGAACGGAGTTAACGAAGTTGGCAAGTTTTCGGGGGAAGAGTAGCCTGAAATCTGAAGTTTTGCTAGGTTGATGGAAACCTCAATAATAGCAAAAGCAATTGCCAATACTGTGCTGCTATGGCCTGTGGCCCAATGGATAAGGCGCCTGACTATAAATCAGGAGATTCCAGTTCGATCCTAGCAAGCTCGTTGGATATTATTTTCGTTAACTGTTTTGGCTCAGATTTTGGACACGGGTTCGTTTTCATTGCCCATATTGCATGTAGACATCTGCATACCAACATTTCTTCACTCCTACCACATTATGGGCTCATTTGCATCCTCTCAAGCGATTTCGGTGAAAGCGGAAACTCCAGCCTCATTTACGACGTGATTGGCTTCCTTCATTGGGGGCATAAGGGCAGGCTAGGGGCAAATGAAGGAGGACGAACTTAAGGTCGGGACCGGAACATTGCTATCTGACGCTTTCAAAGAGATGCCTTAGGAGAAACCCATTCTGAAGTCGTTGAGGAAGCGCTACCCATTCAGATAAAACCATCTCTGACCGCCGGGGCGTTTCTTACTAAAGACGTGGCATCGGTGACCACGGCGCCTTGCCTCCGCGCAAAAATCAACGAAAGGCCTGTGTGTGACACGACCACATCACAAAAAAAATTCAAAGCAACCCGTCAAAGTTCGCCTCGTCCGCCTTTCCTCCGACGTCTGCAGTCAGCAAACATGTCCGACTGGGGTAAGCATCCATGCATGCAAAGGACGGCGAAGAGCGCGTTGATATGTGGATTTGTGGCGGGTGGGGAGCTTGCGACCGGAAACCTGCGCGTGTCTTGTGGTTTGTGGCCATGGAAGTATGTGGAAACAGACGGAAAATGGGGAGGGAAGCGAGTCAAAGTAACGTTCATGGAAGTTCCTCGAAGCGGCAGGGACTCAAAATTATGATGATGTGGAACTTGTTTGTCTGGATCTCGTTCTATGCGTTCGTGAAGTCGTGTGGAATTTGGAGAGTGGTGGACTGATGTCCATTACCTTTTCGTCGACACACAGAAAACGAAGACTTTGAGGACTTGCCCAACGTTTCTGTGCCTGTGGTTACCAAGGGCAAGTGGGATGACGAAGATGCAGAAGAGGATGACGTGAAGGTGAGAATTTCTGGGGTGTATGTTTGGTTTTCGTTTAATTGTGACTAGTTACCCAGCCCATTCACGTACGATTCGTTTTCTTTATCCTGGTTGCGGTATCATCCACGAAACGCCCGTCGTCTCTCTCACTGTACCATCCACTCCATACCGAACGACACACAACTCACTAAAAGGACTCATGGGAGGACGCACTCGACGACGACAAAAAGAAGGAGGAAGACAAACCCAAGGCAACATCACCCCAACCCAAGAAGAAGAAGACCCTTGCCCAAAAGATCGCAGAGAGAGAAGAAGCCGAACGGAAACGGAAGGAGGAGATTGCGAGGAAGAAGGCGGAAGAGGCGGGAGAGGACTTGGATGAGACACCTGAGGAGCGCAAGTTGAGATTACAACGCCAGGTTGTTGAATCTGACTTTGAGAATGCGAAGTCTTTGTTTGGGGATTTGGCCATCAAAGGAGGTAGGAATATGGTTCACTTCATGGTTCGGATTATGCTGTGCACGCCGTTCATTCGTTCGAGCGTGATGCATCTTCGTTACAGATCACATCGTAACTCAAATTATTCTTCTTCTCATGTTAATACAGATGACAAATTCGCGGTGCTGCTCTCAACACCCACCACAAAACAAGATTTCGACCAGTTTGGTGAGGTTTTGGGCGAGAAGCTCTCTCAATTCGAGGTAAATCATCATCAACTGCTGTTCAAGAAGTAGTCGTTTACCCGGTCGACTTCCCAAGTGATACAGACATCCATGATTATGGTCTCTGCCGCATGACGCTGACCCTCACCCCTTATGCACGTCTCTGCTCAGAAAAACAAAAACTACGCCCCCTTCATCGAATCCCTAATCCGCAACGTCTGCGCATCCCTCTCCCTCGAAGACGTCCGCAAAATTTCCGCAACGGTCAAAGCCATCGCCGATGAGAAACAAAAAGCTGCAACCTCGTCCAAAAAGAAGAAGGGCGGTGGTGCCACTGGGAAGAAGGCTACGTTGAGGTCGCATGATGTGGACACGACGAATTACTACGACGAGAATAATGGTAAGCTTGGCGGTGTTGTTGTAAAAGGAAACGGTGTAACAAAACGCCTGTTGAACATCGGGCTTGTTGCGCGTCGAGGGCGTGAAATGGGGAAAGCGTTATCGGTTTTGGTGGATTTTGTTGTCTCTTTCGTCCCAACCGAATGTTTCCCTCCACCTGACCCCGCGTCTTGTTCCTCCTCTTTGACTCTTACAGACATGTATGCAGGAGAATACGACGACTTCATGTGAACGATTCTCCACAAGCAAAAGCCGAAATAAACACCTCAGATCCCCATAAATACCCTTTTCCCACTGCTTGGTATTGATTACCTTCGGAGAAACTTCACTCTGTTCAACGCAGAGCTTCATCAAACGAATTCCCGCCCACTTTCAGCACCTATATTGCCCACCACCTAATCCCCGTTTAATCCACTCCCCAGCCCCCTCTTTCATTTTTCAATCAAGACAATCGTAGTCCCACCACCCCAACGACCCATGCAGAAAGCTTTCCTTTTCTTTTGTCGTCTTCTGCTCCAACGTATCGGAACATAATAAAACACCCATAACATATTACCGCTAACCCTTCTGTCTCCGCAGCTCACGCCCAGGCTCATGGCCAGCCACTCTCAGTGCTTTCACGTAGGCGCCTATTTTCGCCGAACGGGTGCTTCCATGTTTTGGTGAACTCCATCTCCACCCTCTTCTACTTTTCTCAAGTTGAGTACACTTCCATTTTCTTCGTATCTGTTCTCGTCGTCTTTCTACCATACACCTGCTTTCCACACCAAGATCTTTTTCCTATCCAATTTACAAGCACCCACGGCCACTGTCAACTACGATCACCCACGAAAATAAATCTTCGCCAAGCCTCGTGTCACCCAGCTCCGCTGCAAGCGCTCTGATCTCTTCCGCCGACCTCTTCGACGTCCACGCCGCCCACACACACGCCGTCAACGTTTTCAAATATCTTCGCCAGTTCTTGCCTCATATCGGGTGAAGAAACGCCGTTCAACTCTTCTCGCTTCGTTCTCCATGAATCTCAACTCAAACTCGTCAACGACTGTCAACTCACTTTGTTCGAGGATTCCTCACACCACACAAGGATTCCTCACACTGATACGTTCAACTTTCGTAACCGAACCTAAGTTGAGTATACGCCTATCTCTTCATTAAATTTTCTCGCTATGTCGCTTCTCTTCTGTTACCCTCTACACTTAAATGTTTTCTATCTTCATTTTTCGCAATCAGGGAACTCAACCCGTCACCACTCTTCCTCACGTTTCTCTCAAATTTCGCCAATCTATCTTATCTCACCGCACACCACAACCAACTTCCATTCGTCCCATCAACAGATCGAATCCCACATGACGCACTTCGTTTTCGCAAATGGAAGTATTTTTCAATCACTACCATCTTCATCGCAATCTTTCTTGCATCTTCTTTGGAGAGGCAAACCCTGCTCCAAGTCCAAGGATAGGCGACCCCTGATCTGCGGACCCCTTTTTCCAAGGAAAGGCGATCCCTGTTCTGCGGACTCTTTCTTTACATCCAAGGATAGGCAACCAGGCTGGGTTGCTGTCGCAGTTTGTCTGTTGCAGTAACGCCGCTTTGGCTAAACGTGCCCCCACTCAGCAAACTACCCCTTTTTCATTGTCTTCGCCAAATATTTAACTTCACCCCATCTCCCGCAAATACCCCTGAAGCTTATCTTGCCATCTTCACAACTACGTCGTCATTATATAAATCATAGACAGAGCTAGAGAACCCAAGCAGATCATCATTATGAGAACTATTGTCGCTTGTATATGTCCTGATCTTTTCGACCTTCAAGAATACATCCAGTATCGCCTGACCTTCTGACTTTTTTGGCGCTCTCTCGAGTCCATTCTAAGTCTTCTAAACTCACGTTGAGGGTTTTGCTATTTTTCCTCAACGTTTTTTAGGGGCGAATACTACTAATCTCCTCCTCTCTCTCCCTACCCTATCCCTCACTCTCTCTCAATTGTGAGGAAGACATCAACTCTCTTCCCCTCGCGGCCTGTTCCTTCACAATCTTGGTGAGAGACGGAAAGAAGGCAAAAACATGGGAGGTAAAGAAGAACCAAACTTTGGACGCGCCGATATTAAAAACCCTTCCTATACAAAAGCTATCAAAAAATGTCTGGCGGGAGAAGAGACGAAGGGGGAGAAAAAGAAAAAATGGTATCGAAAAAACAAAGGTATCAAGAAAGCAACCGCCTGCTCCACCGTCGCAGTGATTCCCTTTACTCCGAAAAGGTAACTGGCACAAGTTTCGAAAGAAAACGATGACATATATAGCCAAATATCAAAGCCATCAGAAAAACAGATTCTGCTGTTGCTGTTGCTGTTGCTGTTGCTGCTGCTGTTGCATCCCAAATTGATTCATCCCACCAGCTCCCCCCATCCCCAGCC